TTAAGGCAGTTCTGAAGGCAAAAGGATGAATATTAACCTGATACTAGTAAGGTGTACCTAATAAAGTGGCCAGTGAGTGTACGTCATCTGTATAGGTACACATATTCAACAAATACTGCAATCTATTAATTTTCAACCATCTACAAATAACAGAAATGCACATATCTTCGAATAAATTAACATATACAGTATGTGCTCATATTTGGCCATATATTAAATTTGTTTATGTGCCCCAAAACAGGCAATTCATTATTACTAATTATTCTTAGACAATCACCAGCCAAATTTCATAACATGACAACTCTAATGTCCGTCAGAGTGACTGTACAGAAATGTACTTTCATGCACTCCACTTAAAGAGACAGTTCATCAGAAAAATGAACATTGTCATCATTTACTCACCATTTACTTGTCACAAACCTGTCCGACTTTCTTCTGTTTAACACAAAGAAGATATTTTGAAGAATGTTGGAAACATTCCATAATATTTGCCGTTCCTACTCTGGAGGTCAATAGTAACAGCTTTCACTTGAGGGCGAGTAAATAGTGATGAAGTGCTTATTTTTAGATGAACTATCCCTTTAACGTTCATGTAGAAACATAATTAATCTCCCTGAAACGCAGAAAACAGCCTGGAGATTTGGCATTGTGTGAAATGCTGACCTACAAACCCAGGACGGGCTTACCTGCAAATTTGCCCAGTGGGATGCGTGATGTCATGCTTCGGGCTTTTTCTGGGTCGCTCCATCCAATCTTTCCCATCTCCGTCATCACCACAGTCGGGTTCACCGAATTCACTCTGATCTGCGCAGGTCAGATTACATAAAGCAATGAACAGTTATTTATAAACCAAGTCAGACAACTAAAGAAATAAAAGAAAACTGGCAAATAAATAAAAGATTCAAGCACAAACAAAACTGGTAAACATTTAAGAAACATTTTGAATATTATAGATGCGCACTGAAATGGCTACAAATGTAATCCAAGTAGGTTCTTGTTAATACAAACTACTACGAACAACAACAACAACAACAACTACTACTACTCCTAATAATAATCAATGTTTTAGTTGTATTAAAATAATAATAAATGTTTACATTATTGAACATTAGTGCAAACAAATATTTCAATTAAAAAATTCAGAATTTGGCATCTAAACCAACCATCTCAATAATAAAACTTTAAAGAAAAGTACTAAAAATTATAAAAGCGGATCATATACACAGACACAGTCACTGAAAAGTAATGGCAAATAAATAAAAAGATTCAAGCACACACACAAAAAAAATATTTAAGAAATATTTTCAATAATACAGATGCTATAAATAAAACAAAAAAATTATTTTAACTTAGTAGGTTCCACTTAGTTAGTTCTTGTTAACACTTATACTACTTTTACTAATTTAGTAATATTAATAAAAATTATAATAAAATAATGATAATAATTATAATAAAGTTTTGTTTGTATTAAATCAATAATATGATGCTAAATCCTATTTTTTTAAATCATTTTTAAAAATAATAAACCAATTTTAATAATATAGATACCATAAATAAAATTATTATCAATAATATAAATACCATAAATACACTAAAATGCGTAAAAAGGTTACAAATGTAATATAAATAAGAAGATATCACTAGTAAGTTCTTGTTAATACTAATACTACTATTATTAGTTTTAATAACAATAATAATAAGAAGAATAAACGTTTTATATGTATAATTGTTTTCTATTTTTTTATTATTGTTGAAAATTACTTTTAAAAAATAATTTATTTATTTAGCATTTATTTAGCAGGATTTAGCACCTCAATATTATATATATTTTAGTTATTAAAAAGCAGAAAATATACCAATTCTATCTATCTATCTATCTATCTATCTATCTATCTATCTATCTATCTATCTATCTATCTATCTATCTATCTATCTATCTCTCTCTGACTATCTATCTCTGACTATCTATCTATCTATCTATCTATCTATTCATCTATCTATCTGTCCATCTATCTATCTATCCATCCATCCATCCATCCATCCATCCATCCATCCATCCATCCATCCATCCATCCATCCATCTATCTATCTATCTATCTATCTATCTATCTATCTATCTATCTATCTATCTATCTCTCTCTGACTATCTATCTCTGACTATCTATCTATCTATCTATCTATCTATCTATCTATCTATCTATCTATCTATCTATCTATCTATCTATCTATCTATCTATCTATCTCTCTCTGACTATCTATCTCTGACTATCTATCTATCTATCTATCTATCTATCTATCTATCTATCTATCTATCTATCTATCTATCTATCTATCTATCTATCTATCTATCTATCTATCTATCTATTCATCTATCTATCTGTTCATCTATCTATCTGTCCATCTATCTATCTATCTATCTATCTATCCATCCATCCATCCATCCATCCATCCATCCATCCATCCATCCATCCATCCATCCATCCATCCATCCATCCATCCATCTATCTATCTATCTATCTATCTATCTATCTATCTATCTATCTATCTATCTATCTATCTCTGACTATCTATCTATCTATCTATCTATCTATCTATCTATCTATCTATCCATCCATCCATCCATCCATCCATCCATCCATCCATCCATCCATCCATCCATCCATCCATCCATCCATCCATCCATCTATCTATCTATCTATCTATCTATCTATCTATCTATCTCTGACTATCTATCTATCTATCTATCTATCTATCTATCTATCTATCTATCTATCTATCTATCTATCTATCTATCTATCTATCTATCTATCTATCCATCCATCCATTCGTTCTCGCAGAAAATACACCACAATAGGAAACAGGACTGCATATTTATTCTAAATTAGGCTGTCACTTATTTCAGACTTCATAATAATACTAAAAATAACTAAATAACAACATTCTGCGTTAACAGAGATGCAAAGGAAAGAAGTAAAATACTTTGTCACTTTAAAAACTAAAATTCTGGTATCAGTACTTCGATATCTATAATTCATATACATCTTTACACAAATATCTGTACTTTCTGCACTGTAACAATATCCGTAAATTAGCAGTTTTCCATATTTTGTGATTCATGTTTTTATTTTCCCTTGTTTATTCATGCGTTTGAATTGCATTATGGGATTTTGATCTTTCTTTCAACAACTTTTAACTATGTAAAGTCTGAAAAAGTGACTTTTATTGAAAATTTTAATAGTTTAAAGTGCTATATTGTCTGGGTTTGGGTTGTATGTTACACTACACAACCCTTGTAATTAACTGCAGTACATTTTCTGTTCTTTTACACACTTATTTCTCTATATATTATTATTTCTTATAGAGATCACATTATTTCAAACTACTAAAACGTCAATGTTGTTAAACTGCAGAGAGAATATTCAACATCAAAACTCCACAGAGCAGAGATCAACATCCCATAATGCAATTCACAACCATAAATACACTTTAAAACACTTGTGAATCACAAAATACGGAAACTGTTCATTAACAGATATTTGCACAGTGTTTTTTTTTTGACCTAGGCTAATATAGGTAGACTAATAATCCTAATTCACAGATGACAAGCATTACAATTAATGTAGATATTTCCAGAACAAACCGGTTTATCAGCTCTGTGACACATGAATGTGGAAATAGTTTGCCAAGAATGTCAAGATCTGCACTGCGCTGTTAATCCAATCAGGAAGAGAAACAGGATGGTGAGTATATTAACAAACATCCAGCCAATAATTAACGCAGATACACAAACAACTGTGGCATAAATATGCATTATTATCTGCTTGCAATTGCATCTGATTACAGAGCAGACATCCACACACACCCCATCATTTCATCAGCCGTTTGAGAGATTAGCAAACTGATTTATGTGTTAAGGAGGGCGGTTGCTGATTGGCTGGGAGCCTCCTGGCCAGACCGTTCACCACAATGTGTGATTTATTTTCTCAAAGCTGTAAACAACACACAACGAGCTCAATGTTTGATCGTTTCATAAGCATGATCTGACAGAACTCAAGATTTAAAGGAGACCTATTATGCAAAAATCACTTTTATAAGGGGTTTAAACACGGCTGCGTGTGAATATAACCAGCGTCTAATGATAAAAATGTATTAATATAATTTGTTATAATCACACTTGATTAAATCAGTCTGCAGAAACACTGACTGACATTCTTCTTTTGTACGTGTCATCAGAGGGGAAAAGCCCCGCCCACTCTCCTTCTCATTAGCATAGGATGATAGTTCTGTTTTTGAATCTGCCACTATGCTGACACACTGGCATGTGTAGCTCCGCCCTCTCTTTTGAAAAGCGCACAATCTCATTTAAATTTAAAGCGACAGTCACTAAAAACGGCCCAATTAGGATCAAGGCCTAAAAGGGGGAGTCTTAAGAGTTATTAAACATTATCTGTGGGATATTTTGAGCTCAAACTTCACACACACAAACACTCAAGGGACATCAGAGACTTATTTTAGATCTCTGGCATTATAGGGGCCCTTTATATAAAAGGAAGTGTGAGGTAAGGCGATGCAGCGGCAAAGTAGGTAGTGCTGTCGCCTCACAGCGAGAAGGTCGCTGGTTCGAGCCTCGGCTGGGTCAGTTGGCGTTTCTGTGTGGAGTTTGCATGTTCTCCCTGCGTTCGCGTGGGTTTCCTCCGGGTGCTCCGATTTCCCCCACAGTCCAAAGACTTGCGGTACAGGTGAATCGGGTAGGCTGAATTTTCCGTAGTGTATGAGTGTGTATGGATGTTTTCCAGAAATGGGTCGCAGCTGGAAGGGCATCCGCTGCATAAAACATGTGCTGGATAAGTTGGCGGTTCATTCCGCTTTGGCGACCCCAGATTAATAAAGGGACTAAGCCGAATAGAAAACAAATGACTGAATGAAGTGTAAGGTATTTACCTGATGCGGCCCCAACTCGAGCGCCATCACTCTGGTCAGCATGTCCAGTGCTGCTTTAGTGGCACCTTCACAAAACACATCCACAGTATTATTAAAAAATAATAATAATAAAATAATTATAATAACAATAATAGTCATAATAATAATAATAGTAAAATAATAATAATAATAACAATAATAGTAATAATAATAATAATAATAGTAAAATAATAATAATAATAATTATAATAACAATAATAGTAATAATAATAATAATAATAATAGTAAAATAATAATAATAATAAAATAATAATAATAATGATAATAATAATAATAAAAAAATAATAATAATGATAATAATAATAATAATAATAATAAAATAATAATAATAATAAAATAATAATAACAATAACATAAAAATAATAAAATAATAATAATAAAATAATAATAATGATAATAATAATAATAAAAATAATAATAATCATATTTTTTATTATTTATTATATTTTTATATATTTATTATTAATTATATTTTTTATTAAAATAAGTTTGCTTTAAGATCTTTCTCCAGTAATGCCAGAAAATCAGAGTCATTCGCTTCTGGAATATTTGATTAGGCGAGACATATTTTTTAAAAATGCTTTCATGAAAATTATGACTTATTTCTTGTGTCCCAAATTTAGCTACTGATATGCTTGCATACAAACCTGTTTCCTCTGAACCCAAAGGAAGATATACTGGAAAAAACAGCCATTGTCTTCCATAGTATTATTTGTTCCTACTATGATCTGCTCTTCCCAACATTCTACAGACTATCTTGTTTTGTGTTCAACAGGAGAAAGAAACTAGGTTTATGGATGAGCTATGCTTTTAAGCTACATGCTTCTTGACAGGCCTGGTACAATAACTGGTAAATGTGATCAGATTGGATGCCAGAACTGTGCGTCTTTGCACTCACAGTACACGGCATGATCCTTCAGGGCACACTGTGATGCCTGACTCGAGACGTTCACAATGGATCCTCCAGTTCCCCTGGCCTTCATACCCCGAGCCACGATCTATAACAAAAACACGAAGCATTAAACTGTTTAATCTTCTTCTTTTACAACTCCCATAGAGGTAAACAGCTGACCATTTTCGAATACAGTCAGCTGATCTCCCGGCCTGGTGAGAGCACTTTTAGCTTAGCTTAGCATAAGTCATTGAATCAGATTAGACCATTAGCATCTCTCTCAAAAATGACAAAAGAGTTTTGATAATATTCCTAGACTCTTCTGTAGTTGCATCGTGTACTTAAACTGTACTTGTAAACAAAAAGTACTAACAGCTATACTCTCATTCTGGTCATTCTAATAGGAATGTACCATGGCTGCAGCAGATGCAATGAAATAGTCCCTAAATAGATACCAGAGCTGTGTAATATCATTGTGCCTGCTGCAGCCAGGGTATGGCAGCAAAATTCCTTGATAATTACTTACATTCATTCATCTTCCCTCAGCTAAGTCCCTTATTTATTAAAGTTCGCCACAGCGGAATGAACCGCCAACGATTCCAGTATATGTTTTACACAGTGCATGCACTTCCAGCTGCAACCCAATACTGGGAAACACCCAAACACTCATATATATATATATATATATATATATATATATATATATATATAAAAGGAATTATCTCAGTTCATTCAATTCACCTATAGTGCATGTGTTTGGACTGTGGGGGAAATCGGAGTCCCCAGAGGAAACCCACACCACCGGGGAGAACATGCAAACTCCACACAGAAATGTCAACTGGCCTAGCTGGGACTCGAAACCTGCGACCTTTCTTGCTGTGATGCCACAGTGTTAAGAACAGTGTGGCCTTGATTACTTATTAATAAACTCTATTTAGATTTTTTTTTTTTGTGAGATGCTAATGGTCTAATCCGATTCAATGACCTATGCTAAGCTAAGCTAAAAGTGCTCCGTGCTCCTCAAGATTGGCTGAATGGATTCAAAAATGGTACAACTCATCTGTTTACCTTTAGGGGAATAGTTACAAAATTATTTACTATTTACAAAATAAGCTGAGTGTTTCTTAAAAAAGGACGCGTGTTAAAGCCAATACCAAATATAGATCTCATCTTACTTGAGCAACATGAAGTGCAGCTTTCACGTTGATATTAAAAGACCTGCAAAAGCAATAAGAAATGCTGTCAGCTTATTTATATACAATGTTAAAAGAGTTTCTGTCTCGTTTCTAGTCCAAATATCTAAAAACTCTTAAATCAAGAAGCATTTTCAAGACAAGCAACAAAGATTGTCTTGTTTTCAGAAATAATACGCCAAGATTAAGGGAGTTCATCCCTAAAACAAGCAAAATAATCTGCCAATGGGGTAAGAAACCTAATATTGTTCTTCGTTTTGATGTAAGATTATTTTGCTTACCCCATTGGCAGACTCTTTAGCTTGTTTAATGGAAAAATCTAACTTAATTTTGACATATTTCTTAAAACAAACCAATATTTTTTGCTCATCTAGAAAATGCTTCTTGATTTAATCATTTTTAGATATTTGGACAATAAACAGCTCGATAAATCTAATAAAAAAGCCTTTATTTGCATGGTAACACAAATTATAATGACGAGTTATAACGAGTGACTGATATTTCAAAGCCTCACATGTCAAACTGATCTGGCGTGACATCAAGGAAGGGCTGAAGTTTTGCGCAGGCTGCATTGTTCACGAGAAGATCCACCGGGCCAACATTATTCAGCGCCTCCTTGGTGGCGTCCCAATCAGACAGGTCCACGCATACCGGCTTAATGGAGGGACACTGGGGATCAAACACATCAGATTTCCCATTGTCACGGTCGGCATCAATGAGACCTATAAAGCATGAAGGAGCAGCAGGCTCTCTTGGTATGCAGATGCATGCTGGAGGAGAATAGATATGCAGGGTTTTTGTTTAGGAGATGAGTTGGAGCGTGACCGAAAGGCCATTACCTCTTGCACTAGGCTATCCAGGTCAGCTTTGGTGCGTGTGACAGCCGTGACCTCTGACCCACAGCGTGCCAGCGCCAGAGCGGTGGCCCGTCCAATCCCTAAAGATATTGAGGGAGTATCATTATATATGCAACAATGCTAATTTGGAATGTTCAAAGCATAGCATAACATAAGGAATAATTGAGGATGGGCTTACTAACAGGGTGGCTGAAATATTAAACAGTTCGATTTTTAATCTTGCTTAATCCATATAGTTTGTTATATTCATGAGTACTCCAAATTAAGAACTACAACCTACAACTGCTAACTTTATCTGCATATGAACTATATGTTGTTTGAACACTGACTGAATGAGTGTATCTACAATAGTCACATAGCAGGGTTAGGTTTTTTTAATTTATTTATTAGACATTAAAAATTATTTACATGACCATGTTATTTTACATTTGATTGTTCAATTAATGTACTTTAATACTGTTAGACTCTCCAGAAAACAATAAAGCACTGTCTTAGAACTTTAATTTTTGCTCTGTAATATACTATATGTAATATATTATATATGTAATATGTATGTATACTATGTAATATATTATATATGCTTGCAATTTACTTTTATTTTATGATGCACTCATAGAAAAAGAGTTTGATACGCCCCAGTCGATCTAAATCAATGAAATCTTTCCAAATAGAGCTATACATCGTCTGGTGCAATTATTTTCCTATCACAATAGTAAGTTAAATCGCAGCAAAACAATAACAAACATAATGTCTGATTTGTACAATATCGTGCAGCCCTAGTATGAAGGAAGGGACTTTTTTTCGGAAATTGTTTTCTCCTTTCAAAGACATGGGATCTTCAGTGATTCATTGTAAATGCACGGAAATGAGCAACTAGAACACTCTTCGAAATGTCTCTATTTATATTACACGGGACACATGAAGACTGTGCGAGCTGTATCAATACTAACCTTTGCCAGCTCCAGTCACCAAAGCACGCTTTCCTCTAAATGAAATCTCCATTGTTCTTTAATCCAGGCACACAAACAGCTGTAAAACACTCGAGTGAAACTAAAAGCACAGACTGAAAATTTAATTTTTAATGTTGTAGGTGCGTTACTGAGAAGAAACGACCGTCTAAATAGACACTAACGTATGACTCTACGTACCTCACGTTTCAAACTGTTGTTTGTTTGGCTAGTCAGTGAACTGAGCGAAGTTCACTCGAGAAGCAGCACAGTAAAAGCTCAACTGTCAGCAAAATAACTGTTTTGTCACATGACCAGCTCACATAACGAAACATAAGGTTCGTAAAATTGTTATTGAGGTGTTAATCAGCTGCGGTCATCTTCTGCGATAGAAATTGTGGCTGTGCTAACACAATTTAGCTCTTACTTAGCTAATTTACTCCACGTTACATAGCCTACTGAGTACACCATTATTTCTGGCTTCACACAATATTGGTTGAATAGTTTGCGAGCGAAAATCTACAGAAGATAATTTATTAAACATTAAGCTTGACTTATTCGTGGCTCTTCTATATAAAGACTCGTTCACCCTACTGAAAAAACTTTTTGATTTAGTGGCTAATTTGTACGATCTAATTCTTACAATTTAGTACGACTTGCTCATCCCCCAAAGATGGTTGGGTTTAGGGGTGGGGTTAGGTGCCACGCCTCCTTTTTAAAATCGTAGAATTTCGTACGACTTAACTATGCTCATACGAATTCGTATGAATTATCCACTAAACTGGGAAACCGTAAAACACTTACGTTTTCTCATGAGATCAGGCTCGATTAAACTATGCTTAGTGTAACAAAGCCATAGCTGGTTTGATTGTTACCATGATTTGACTACAATAATATTGTTATTTGTAGTGAAAATATGGTAAATTTTTAGAAGTGAAAATAACACCTAATATCTAATGAGTACAAAATAAAAGGCACAAACACACACACACATATATATATATACACATACATTCACACACATATATACACACACACACACACGCACACACACACACACACACACGTTAAAATACCCATTAAAGTGGCTGGTGATTTTATGACACATCTTATGAACAGTCAGAAGCCGTATTGGGTTTAAATAAATTATGCATACAAGTACATCTGCATAATAAATAAATTTATTAAAATCAAAATCATACAACCTTATCAGTTCCTCAGATAAAAAAAAAAACACCAACAAAAAGAGGAGCAAAACAAAAAGAACAGTCAATAACAGCATTTGGTAGTGTCAACGGAGAGCAGGCACGTTCAGAGAACATTAGGAAAAAGAGATCGTTTTGGCATGTTCACGCAAACCACTGGCCTGCAGTGAGGAACGTGTTTGTGCAAATATCAGAAGGAACATGAACACTTGTTTCCAATCTTTCAATGAAAATAACTCAATGTTAAAACATTTTAATAGGAACCACAAAAAGCAAATGGAGGAATTAGCAAGATCTGGACCGATGCTTTTTGGTCTGTATATCTTCAATTCAGTCTTAAAGGGATAGTTTAGGCAAAACTTAAAATTATTTACACACATTTTACACTGCAGGGCTTCACACAATTCATTCATGTTGTCCCAACACAAATCAATTAAGTTAGCTTGATAAATTTAAGTGGACTGAACAAAACAATTGGGGAAACCTTAAAAAACCCCACCAGAATTGAGTTTTCAGCCATTTTAAGTAGATTGAACAAGCAATTTGAGTGTATTTATTTCCAATCTTGTTGTTTGACTTTCTTTCGTTGAACACAAAAGGAGATATTTTGAAGCATGCTTGAATCATTGATTTTCATAATATTTTTTTTAAATCTAAGTTGAATGTCAATGGTTACAGGCTTTCAGCATTCTTCAAAATATCTTCTTTTATGTTCAACAGAAAAACAAAAGAAACTCAAAGGTTTGAAACCACTTGAAAGGGAGTAAATAGTGCATTTTCCATTTTGGGTGAACTATCCCTTTAATACTTGACGCCAACCTGTAAATCTAGAGACATAGCGAGTGCAAATGGCCTTCCCGATACACAAAACACAAACAGAGAAGAACATGCTAAGGTAGTAGATGAGCTGGGCTGTATAAACCTCAATCAATACAGTTTTCTTCATCCTTAAAAAAAGTTGCAGATCATTGAACACAAATCAATTACTCTTAATTGTTTTATGTTCAATCTTCTCAAATGTATTCTTCTTAATGTAAAACTCCAGAATTGTGTTTTCAGCTCATTTTAAGTAAGTAGATTGAACAAGCCTTTTAAGTGTACTTGTTCCAAACCTGTTTGACTTTCTTCTGTTGAACACAAAAGGGGATATTTTGAAGAATGCTTGAAACATTGACTTAAAGCTTTGTCCAGCCTGGTCAAGGCTGGTTTTAGCTGGTCATTTTCCAGCCTGACTCTATAGTATCTGGATACAGACTTTATGATGCAAGCTGAGATTACATTTCTTGGCGATGCAATATCAGACCCAATGCACTCAATGGAGCTAGTGACATCACCGTGAGTGGTAGGATTAGGGTTAGGTGAGCCCATTAAAAAGCATTGCATGAGTCTGCAGCCAGACCTCTTTCGCCTGACCAGCTAAGACCAGGCTGGAAATGGACAAAACCCCTCTAAAACCAGCCAACCAGCTTAGACTGGTTTTAGCTTTGTTTTCAGCAGGATACATTTACCTAACATATAAATAATCCACAGATTCTGTCTGGCCCTGTTTAACTGGTCTGAACTTAAATACGTTAAATACGTTTATATTACAATTACGAATTACCCCACATTCCATTATAAAAATTACAATTATTATTATTACTATTACTTTTTGTGCGCACATTGATTGCCAGTTGTATAACCATTAACTAATACTGCGATTAAACAACACAATCTCACAGCAATTCGTAACTTTTTGATTTAGTGGCTAATTTGTACGATCTAATTCTTACAATTTAGTACGACTTGCTCATCCCCCAAAGATGGTTGGGTTTAGGGGTGGGGTTAGGTGCCACGCCTCCTTTTTAAAATCGTAGAATTTCGTACGACTTAACTATGCTCATACGAATTCGTATGAATTATCCACTAAACTGGGAAACCGTAAAACACTTACGTTTTCTCATGAGATCAGGCTCGATTAAACTATGCTTAGTGTAACAAAGCCATAGCTGGTTTGATTGTTACCATGATTTGACTACAATAATATTGTTATTTGTAGTGAAAATATGGTAAATTTTTAGAAGTGAAAATAAAACCTAATAGCTAATGAGTACAAAATAAAAGGCACAAAAAATAAACACACACACACACACCAAATAGTTAAAATATCTATTAAAGTGGCTGGTGATTTTATGACACATCTTATGAACAGTCAGAAGCCGAATTGCGTTTAAATAAATTATGCATACAAGTACATCTGCATAATAAATACATTTATTAAAATCAAAATCATACAACCTTATCAGTTCCTCAGATAAAAAAAAAAACACCAACAAAAAGAGGAGCAAAACAAAAAGAACAGTCAATAACAGCATTTGGTAGTGTCAACGGAGAGCAGGCACGTTCAGAGAACATTAGGAAAAAGAGATCGTTTTGGCATGTTCACGCAAACCACTGGCCTGCAGTGAGGAACGTGTTTGTGCAAATATCAGAAGGAACATGAACACTTGTTTTTAATCTTTCAATGGAAATAACTCAATGTTAAAACATTTTAATAGGAACCACAAAAAGCAAATGGAGGAATTAGCAAGATTTGGTCTGTATATCTTCAATTCAGTCTTAAAGGGATAGTTTAGCCAAAACTTCAAATTATTTACACACATTTTACACTGCAGGGCTTCACACAATTCATTCATGTTGTCCCAACACAAATCAATTAAGTTAGCTTGATAAATTTAAGTGGACTGAACAAAACAATTGGGGAAACCTTAAAAAAAAAAAGCAACCAGAATTGAGTTTTCAGCTCATTTTAAGTAGATTGAACAAGCATTTTGAGTGTATTTATTTCCAATCTTGTTGTTTGACCTTCTTTCGTTGAACACAAAAGGAGATATTTTGAAGCATGCTTGAATCATTGATTTTCATAATATTTTTTTTAAATCTAAGTTGAATGTCAATGGTTACAGGCTTTCAGCATTCTTCAAAATAACTTATTTTATGTTCAACACAAAAACAAAAGAAACTCAAAGGTTTGAAACCACTTGAAAGGGAGTAAGTAGTGCATTTCCCATTTTGGGTGAACTATCCCTTTAATACTTGACGCCAACCTGTAAATCTAGAGACATAGCGAGTGCAAATGGCCTTCCCGATACACAAAACACAAACAGAGAAGAACATGCTAAGGTAGTAGATGAGCTGGGCTGTATAAACCTCAATCAATACAGTTTTCTTCATCCTTAAAAAAAGTTGCAGATCATTGAACACAAATCAATTACTCTTAATTGTTTTATGTTCAATCTTCTCAAATGTATTCTTCTTAATGTAAAACTCCAGAATTGTGTTTTCAGCTCATTTTAAGTAAGTCGATTGAACAAGCCTTTTAAGTGTACTTGTTCCAAACCTGTTTGACTTTCTTCTGTTGAACACAAAAGGGGATATTTTGAAGAATGCTTGAAACATTGACTTAAAGCTTTGTCCAGCCTGGTCAAGGCTGGTTTTAGCTGGTCATTTTCCAGCCTGACTCTATAGTATCTGGATACAGACTTTATGATGCAAGCTGAGATTACATTTCTTGGCGATGCAATATCAGACCCAATGCACTCAATGGAGCTAGTGACATCACCGTGAGTGGTAGGATTAGGGTTAGGTGAGCCCATTAAAAAGCATTGCATGAGTCTGCAGCCAGACCTCTTTCGCCTGACCAGCTAAGACCAGGCTGAAAATGGACAAAACCCCTCTAAAACCAGCCAACCAGCTTAGACTGGTTTTAGCTTTGTTTTCAGCAGGATACATTTACCTAACATATAAATAATCCACAGATTCTGTCTGGCCCTGTTTAACTGGTCTGAACTTAAATACGTTAAATACGTTTATATTACAATTACGAATTATCCCACATTCCATTATAAAAATTACAATTATTATTATTACTATTATTTTTTGTGCGCACATTGATTGCCAGTTGTATAACCATTAACTAATACTGCGATTAAACAACACAATCTCACAGCAATTCGTAACTTTTTGATTTAGTGGCTAATTTGTACGATCTAATTCTTACAATTTAGTACGACTTGCTCATCCCCCAAAGATGGTTGGGTTTAGGGGTGGGGTTAGGTGCCACGCCTCCTTTTTAAAATCGTAGAATTTCGTACGACTTAACTATGCTCATACGAATTCGTACGAATTATCCACTAAACTGGGAAACCGTAAAACACTTACGTTTTCTCATGAGATTAGGCTCGATTAAACTATGCTAAGTGTAACAAAGCCATAGCTGGTTTGATTGCTACCATGGTTTAACTACAGTAATATTGTTATTTGTAGTGAAAATATGGTAAATTTTTAGAAGTGAAAATAAAACCTAATATCTAATGAGTACAAAATAAAAGGCACAAAAAATAAACACACATACACACACACACCAACTATAGTTAAAATACCCATTAAAGTGGCTGGTGATTTTATGACACATCTTATGAACAGTCAGAAGCCGTATTGCGTTTAAATAAATTATGCATACAAGTACATCTGCATAATAAATAAATTTATTAAAATCAAAATCATACAACCTTATCAAAAAAAAAACACCAACAAAAAGAGGAGCAAAACAAAAAGAACAGTCAATAACAGCATTTGGTAGTGTCAACGGAGAGCAGGCACGTTCAGAGAACATTAGGAAAAAGAGATCGTTTTGGCATGTTCACGCAAACCACTGGCCTGCAGTGAGGAACGTGTTTGTGCAAATATCAGAAGGAACATGAACACTTGTTTTTAATCTTTCAATGGAAATAACTCAATGTTAAAACATTTTAATAGGAACCACAAAAAGCAAATGGAGGAATTAGCAAGATCTGGACCAATGCTTTTTGGTTTGTATATCTTCAATTCAGTCTTAAAGGGATAGTTTAGCCAAAACTTCAAATTATTTACACACATTTTACACTGCAGGGCTCCACACAATTCATTCATGTTGTCCCAACACAAATCAATTAAGCTTGATAAATTTAAGTGGACTGAACGTAAAACAATTGGGTTATCCTAAAAAAAGCCAACAGAATTGTTTTCAGCTCATATTAAGTAAGTAGACTGAACAAGCGTTTTAAGTGTACTTGTTCCAAACCTGTTTGACTTTCCTCTGCTGAACACAAAAGGAGATATTTTGAAGAATGCTTGAATCATTGACTTCCAGTATTTTTAATGTACTATGAATGTCAATGGTTTCAGGCTTTCAGCATTCTTCAAAATATCTTCTTTCATGTAACAGAAAAACAAAACAAACTCATAAAGGTTTAAAACCACTTGAAAGTGAGTAAATGGTTTAATACCCATAATGAAAAATGCACTAGTCCTTTAATACTTGATGCCAACCTATAAATCTAGAGACATACGGAGTGCAAATGTCCTTCTGAATACACAAAACTTAAACAGAGAAGAACATGCTGAGAAACATTGGCAGTGGATGAGCTGGCCTGCACAAACCTTGCATCATTACCGTTTTCTTCATCCAGATCATCACACACAAATCAATTAAGCTTAATAAACTGAAGTGGATTGAACATAAAACAATTAAGTTGTCCCAAAAAAACCTCCACAATTGTGTTGTTTCAGCATCTGTTCCAAACCTGTTTGACTTTCTTCTGTTGAACACTAAAGGAGATACTTCGAAGAATGCTTTAAACATTGACTTCCACTGTATTTTCTAATCTACTATGAATGTCAATGGTTACAGGTTTTCAGCATTCTTTTATGTTCAACAGAAAGACAAAAGAAACCCAAAAAGGTTTGACACCACTTGAAAGTGAGTGCATTTTTCGTTTTGTGTATTAAACTATTCCCTTAATACTTAACGGCAACCTATAAATCTAGAGGCATACCGAGTGCAAATGGCCTTCTGGATACACAAAACACAAACCGAGAAGAACATGCTGAGAAACATTGGCAGCAGATGAGCTGGCCTGCATAAATCTTGCAAACAAAATGCTAAGATGATGCATCAATACAGTTTTCTTCATCCCTGGAGACGTTGCAGATCATCGCACACAAATCTAAAGGGCTGTGCTGGGCATATTTATGGCCTTTAGGAAAAGGACAACTCAATAAAGATGATGTCAAAGCCACAAAAAATGTGGATAAAATCATTTCAGTAAGAAAATAATTGCGCAATCCTTTCGAAACGCTCTTATGAAAGGGACTCGCTTTATGTAAATCACTTGGCAGTTCTCAGAACGCAGTATTTCAAGAGGAAAAAGAGTGTCAGCCACCCTGTTTCTTCATTTAAAAGTACCAGATACAATGAAAAAACATTTTCTTGCTCAATATTAGTCTTGTCTCCCATTATAAAAATACCACAAATCTTAAATCCCCATACATTTACATGAGCAGCACATCACTTCAATCATAAGTTTGTGTTAAAAACAGGAGAAAACATCAATGTTTATAAATGAAAACCAACTGAAAGACACTTTGAGATATGTTCTTCTTCTGCTTAAGTAAATGTATGTTGGTTTAAGATTGTTTAGATTTTTGTTCTGGCAAAGGAGATACAACATACTGTAGTCTGTGAATGTGATCTAACTAGCGTTTCTTATTTGCAACCATCACAATCTGTGCTCAGTTATTCTGCCTGTTCCTTTGGTATAGATAGTGTTGTGGAAAGCATGAGAAAGTTGATGCTCCATGATGATGCATTCGTATACCAGACGTCAATGGCGAGTCTTGCGTGGGCACCACTCGGTGTCTGGGTAGAGCTTGCAGTGAACCGTTTTAAACCTGAAAACATATTGATTCCTTAATACAGCACGGAAATGATACAGTTTTACAACTGTAAATAGACATTGTGAAGTGAGAAACCAAAAGAGGGCGGAGCTACAGATGCCTGTGTGTCAGCATAGTGGCGGATTCAAAAACAAGACAAGAGCTGCGGTCACGTTAGAGGTTGAGCATGTGATATTCTGTCGTGCGGCGCTGCGAAAAGGGGCGGGATTAATCAAGCTTATTAGACATTTAATAAGCGAGCGATTGCTCCATGTTTTAAATTTCTGTCAAGAGGTTTTGATCCTCGATTGGTCTCACGCAGTCAAGTAATGCGATTTCACAGGTCTGAGTTGCACCGCAGCAACCTGAGTTTCCGGTCTGACGCATTCGTGTGTGTGTGTATGAACGGAAGTCTATGGGGAGAAAAGCCCAGTGTGACTGGAGCTTTACATCCTATACTAATGAGGGAGAGATGGTCACTAGTGGGCGGGGCTTTCCCCCTCTGATGACATGAACAAAGGGAGAATGTCAATCAAAGTGTTTCTGCAGACTGTTTTTATTAAGTGTAAATATAAAAAATTTGAGGTAAACATGCTGCATGTTGGATTGACACCTAGTGGTTGACCTAGATATTTTTGCCACTTGTTTAAAAATGTAAGCGTTGATAAAAAGTTTCATCTCTGATGGAGGAATTTGACATTTCTTTACTATTTGCTTCAAAGAGTCTTGAAAAATATCTAGTCAAATATTATGTGCTGTCATCATGGCAAAGATAAAATAAATCAGTTATTAGAGATGAGTTAATAAAACTATTATGTTTCGAAATGTGTTGGAGAAATCTGCTCTCTGTTAAAAAGAAATTGGGGAAAACATAAAAAGGGCTACTAATAATTCAGGGGGTTTAATAATTCTGACTTCAACTGTATATAATAAAACAAAAACAAAAACTGTGTATAAAAACAAACGTTTTTTGTGATTACTACCCACACTTGTTCAGCATGATCATTACATTAATCAAAAGTGACAGTAAAGTCTTTTATTACATTATGGAAAAAAAGAAAAAGGTTTCATATTAGTAACTCATATAAGAGACATTTTTAGGTTATAGATTAATGCTTTCATAAGCATGGATTTAAAGAATTAGTCAAATTTTATTCTAAAATCAAAGTTACAATTAGCTATTTTAAAGAAACAAACACTTTTAATGAGCAAAAATGCATTAAATTGTATAAAGGCAATTGCAAAATTATTATTATTTTTAATTGTACCGTGTTGGGTCTTCAGCCAATGAAAACGCTCCTCCAACACTGACCACATTCCTCCTGTTCTCGAATCCACCATAACTGAGGGTCACCTGTGGAGGAAAAGCCAAGGATTACAGATTTATCAAGCAGAACAGGCATTATGGGATTAGAGTAGGCAAGTGTTTAGTGTATATAACCCTAACCCATGGCGTGTGGGGAGAAAAGAGGGGTCTTGGTTTTTATTCACAGGGAAACAAACCTACATCATGTCTATAACTCCTTTTGCAGCAGATCTGTAATAATGTTAGCTGATTACTCTGTTAGTGTGTCTGTCGGTGCTCTGACCTGTCGCAGGATGTTTTCTGCAGGCAGTCTCTGCAGGTTCTCCAGGTGTGAGTGAAACAGGCCTGTGTGGGTGAGAGGAACCTCCAGCAGCGCCTCGATGATGTAGCCAATTGTACAGTCATCTGGCAGACGGATCTTCTCTGCTGTTGTGATAAAGTTTCCAAGACTGCAAGACAGAAAGAAACCGGATATTTTAGTTGTACACAGCAATTAATATATACTGTATGATATTCCATACAAGGTTCTTCCTACTTTCTAAAGTCAAGTTCAAGCACTTTTCAAACACTTTCCAGGTGCATTATAAAACTTTCCCAGCACTTTACATGTAAAGTAAATGACAAATGGAAGATAAATGACATCAGTATGTAACAGAGGTCACGTTAAGCCTGATTTATACTTCTGCGTCAAGTGACCGGCGTAACCCACGGTGCATGCAACGCGCGTGGCTGTGCATTTATACTTCTGCACGCTGTCTCTGTTGGTCTGCATTAACACTTCCGAAACGCTAGTTGGCAGTAAGGTGTAAATGTTCCTCGGTGTCGAGTTTCTTCGCTGCTGTTTTGCTTTTCCTGAACACTTCCTGAATGTACAAGAGGCTCAAACTCGCTCATTTTGAGGCAGGAACCGGCGGACGTGCAACAACTTTAACTATGAGGTAAACACAAAACAAAACTTTCTATCCGGAGCTCCTTCACGGGACTCCACACTTGTAAACAATCGCTCCATCAGGCTAGCACCATTCGCGCGGCTCTCGGTCCAGCCCAGACTCATCAGCGCTACCAAGCCGACCAATCACAGAGCTTGCGCTACGCGTCGTTGCGACGTGTAGTTACATTTTTTGAGAGGTGCACGTCAGCAACGCCGACATCATGGCGAAGGGCTATGCGTCAGCGCCGTAGCATACGCCAGCGTTTGACGCAGAAGTATAAATCAGCCTTAACAGCGCTGATATATAAGTATTTAAAATGTTGATTTTAGACTTTGTCATTGTCCGTCATTTTGAAAGAGAGGGTTGTAAAAATTATTGACCGTCAATTAATTTGCATGTTTACGTTTTTTTTTCATTTATATTTTAATAATGAACTTGCACGACGAGCATATCGGCTAAATTATTCATTTATTTATTTGACAAATGAACAAAACCTCATATCTGCCTTAACTCATATCTTTCTCCTGCGTCGACCTGAGCTGGGTGCTTGCCTGTGCGTAATCAAACGCATCAAGAGAGACTGATGCAGAGGCAACTGTCATTAAATTCTGTGTCTTTGCCTCCGTTTTAAATTTGTTCTGGAGGCTGAAGCCGCGTTCGGCTGCCACACTGGAGAGTCTTGCCAGAAGCAGCCCGGACTCTACAGGCAGACTCGGGCCAGATCTGGTTAACAGGAATCGGGCCAGTGGTTTACAGCCGCATCACACTCATGTGCGGGAGCGAGCTGCGGGCCATACTCGGCCTGGATAACACTCACCGATGCAGAGTCAGAGCCGCCGAAGGGCAGCCGAGCTCGGGCCGATTACTACCTGCAATCTGGGTAGCGCCACTTCAGCAGCGTTTTGTAGTTAGGAAACATTTCTCCTAAGGAAGTGATCAGAAGTTTGCTGGATTCTCTGAATGTGGGATTTCCCCGTCTTGCAAGCACTTGTTTCACCGGGAAATAGTACTGCAGCACGCGCTCCTTCAGCACCAGGGGCGCGGCTTCACCCCTCTGCGTTCACTCCAAACCACCTGACCTCCTTGTTGCCGCTTGGTTGGCCCGTAACAACAGCTGTCGGCGACTGAGGATTTGTGTCTGTTTGTTCTTCATCGTCCACTGCATCACTTCCTCTTTTTTCACCTTTATTATTAATATCACAACTATTTGGCCGTTTAAAGAAACTCACACTCAGCTGCTGTGAGATTTTTGCAACTGTACGCAGCGGTGACAAAACAAGGGCAATCGCCATCAGCTGGACAGGAGTGGGAATTACAGTTAGCTACAAATTACAGTAGATCACCCTCAGCATAATCACCTTCAGATTTTTCCGTCTCTGCTGAAAAAAATCTGTCAATGACGGAAAATATTCGGTTAACGCGACCTCTGGTGTGTAATAAGCTCATGGAAATTTGGAACAAGCGGAGGATAAGCCATTCTTTTATCCTGAATTTTAGCTTTCTTAACTTTCTTAACATTTTTAAGAAAGGGAAAAAAAAAATTCTCACAGAATTAAAATCAAATAAAACATGCTCGATAGTTAAAATGCTTTTACAAAGAGCATACAAGAGAATCTTCTCGAAGTATTTATTGTGCTTTTTTTAATTCGATGTTTGACGTAATCTCAACTGAATCATAAGAGGGTGGGAAACAGTAGCTCCTCCTCTTAAAAACAAAAAATTGCCATACAGTCGTCCGGCAGACGGATCTTCTCGGCCGACGTGATAAGGTTTCCAAAAACGTGATACAGAAAGAAACCAGATTTTTGGTTTCAAACTGTTTCCTCATTTTCCAAAGTTAAATTTAAGCACTTTCAAACAGTTTCCAGGTGCATTTTAAAACTTTTCCAGTGACATCAGTGTGTAATAACTGCTTATGATCTATTACTGAACTGATACCTCAATAATCCTCGTCTGCATTGCAGTGCATCGGAAAAAAAACAAACTATAATTCTGACACCTCTTGTTCACACAGTCTCAGAGCATTAGAAGTGTAACTTCACCTGGCCCATGGACTCATTTTGAGCGCTAAACCTCGACTGATGCAGAAACCAGCTCCACCAGTGGCAAACCAGAACTTCACTGACACCTGCAGAACACACAACATTAATAAAATACAAGCTTAAAGGGATAATTCACCCAAAAATGAACATTTACTCGATATTTACTCTCAATCTAGTGGTTTCAAAACTTCTTTATTCTGTTGGAGAAAGCTAAAAATCCTGCACCCATTGACTTCCATAGTAGGGAAAACAAATATTATGGATGTCAATGGTCAAGATATCTTCTTTTGGGTTGAACTGAAGAAAAAAAAAAAAACAAAGCTTTAAGCATAAGAATGAGTAAATGATGACAACGTTTTTATTTTTGGGTGAACTATCCCTTTAATCTTTCGTCCTGTAATTCGTCCCAGAGAAAACCAATGAGGAGCTCACCGATCCGTCGCTCTTGACTCTCTCTGCAGCCTCTATAGGATGATCCAGGCTAGGCCGGCCCAGATACACATCCTGTGTGTGAGAGTACGAGGACAGAAGCTCCAGTAGACTGGGCAGGATCACATAGTTATCATCATCCACATGACAAAACCACCTGAAAAACATCAGACAGATAGAGAGAGAGAGAAAAATAAAAAGAAAACACTGTAAAAATCAAAGTTTATTGTCAATTCTGCCACATGACATACAGAGAATTGAAATGGAGTTACTCTCAGACCCTGGGTGCATACAAAAGATAAAAACACTACAAGACGAATGTGAATGTACTATAAATATAAATACAACATACAAAAATTTATCAAAAATACAGAAATAAACATACAAAAATACTATATGCAAATAAAGACAGATATCAGGGAGAGTGCAAATACGCGACAGCAGCATGAAGCAGCATAACGAGTAGTTTTAAACATCTGCAAATCAATGGAAGTGATTGAGAAGTGAAAGATTCCAATGGCCGCATCGGCTCGTACGTCAAGAATGAGCTCAATATGCTATGAATGAATGCAATGCAATGTGATGGACTCAACTTTTTCTGTGACTCGATGAACTTGTCATACTCCACAGACATCTTGCAGCACAGGGCTTGGCGTGTGTGAGCCGCCGAGCAGTTGGTGTTGATGATGTTCAGCCCTTGAGGAGACAATGACATGATGACCATGACTCAACGCTTCATGATTTATCAGAGGGCATATTACAGAAAGATCTCAGCTGAGTCTGAAAGCCTAGAGAGTTTACTTGTTGCCTTATAGCCTAGTTAGGTTGGTGCATGAAGACACAGCGAAATACTGATTTCTAAGACATCATAATCATTTAAATCACATTCAACAGTAGAGAGAGAGCTTTGCTGATAACAAGGCCCACACAAAATCCACCTGGGATTTTTAGCCCATCATTGAGTCTATTTATTTACCTTTGTAAATGTGTGTAAATTTACATTTATTCAGTTTTTAACCTCTCAAACTCCGGGTCTGTGACGTCATCAACTTTCGCTTTCAGATTTAAAGGGCTAGCATTGCACCAGACCCTCTTAAGTGGTTTCGTTTCAAAGTGTAGAAGCTATATTTTATGCACATATGCATTACTTTGGTTTTTATTCTACTTTATCAAAGTTATTTACACTTAAATACACAGTATTTTGGATACCCGAGCTGGGTATTGAACTTTTCATATTTTTCATATGGTTCATGTATGACACATGTACAAGTTATAGCTCAAATGAAAGCTCTTGCCGGTGCTCATACGGTTCTAGCATTCATTTTACTGAATTATATTCACATATCAAACAGTTGTCGAAAGAATCGCGGTGTTTCCATGATGCAGAGATGTAAACAATACATTTATGATCAATAAGCAGCCCCAGATAGCACAGACAGCTGTCATCTCTTACCTTATGCTGTGTGCTTCAGGGCCATTCTCCTCTGTTTTTGAGGTGATGTGCATAAGTAATCATTATTTATGTTATGGTCCAAACACAGTGAATTATGTTTGATCAAATAAAAGAATAGTGAAATATGAAAGCAATGATCGGTCTTTTTTTAGGTGTTTATTATAACACAGATAACATATACAGATATTTTTAACATTTTCAATAGTGTTTTATGAAAATTCAAAGGGTTTTCTTTAAAATTATACCAAATATTTGCATTTACACCTCTGCATGTGGATTTGGGAAGCTTTAAAATTTGGGTAGGCAAAATCCAGGCAGAAATCCCCAAATAGCACAGGGGTTTAAGAGGTTAAATTAATAACAATAATATTATTGACTAATATGAAAACATTAATTTTGATTTATTTACAATACAGTTTGTAAAGTCATACTTTCTGTCTTATAGCAGAGATATTATATGAGAGACTTGCTTTGTTTACCAAATAAGTGGATCTAATTGGATTTGCATTGGAAATAAAAGTTTAAAAGGTATTATTTCTTTCATAATCGATGGCCGTGAAGGTCATCAGTTCACCAAACTTACCGATGTTTACTGAGTGTAACTACAGATACAAGGACGCTGGAGCGTTTAAACAGCCGCGAAAATCAGCTGGTTTATCTACGAGCTTACATAGGAGCAATCCGCTGATGCATCATGACTTTGAAACGCTCCAGTGTTCCTGTATCTGTGGCTACACTCAGTAAACAGCGGTGAGTTCGGTGCACTGATGACCTTCACAGGCAATTACAGTCATTTCTGTTGTGCATGTGAACACAAAGGCAAATCAGCGCCGTTTAAGAACGCACTCAACAGCGCTCAAATGTTAGCGGGAAATAGATTTTATTCATAGAATAGTTTTAAAAATTTCAGTATCGATTGGTACCGAAATCCAGCATCAGGACAACCTTACTAGTAATTAATTGCTTTTAACAGTCAAAGTTATTATATATAAAGATATTTGACCTGCAGTTATATAGTATATAGGTGATATCCTTGTGTGCACGTTCAATGAAGTGTATGTTTAGAATTTCTTTTTGCTCTCAAGCTAATTAGTTTTAGCTTGCATGTAATTTGAAGTATACCGGGGCCTTAAGATAGGAAGTTTCTGTAATTTGCCTCAAGAAATTAAATATTTCCACATTTTACAGTGTTGATGAAATGTAGCATGGATATGAGATTGCTCTTGCTAGCCATGCTGGTTAGTGAGCTACTCAAATAGTGAGATTTTATTAGGGTTTTTAGATGCTTTTATCCTTATTTTCACCTTATTTTTAAAATGGTGTTATAATTAAACAAGAGCTCAGAGACACTACCTGCTTTCAGCCGGAGCTCCTTGTCCTCCCCATCAGTGAAGATAAACGTCTGAAAGAGAGAAAGTCAGTACAGGAGTTTGAGATAATGTGAGATGAGGCTTTACTATATTTAAATATACAGTCTATATATATATACAGTCTATATATATATATATATATATATATATATATATATATACACACATACACTGTATATTTATATATATATATATATATATATATATATATATATATATACTGTATATATTTAAATATAGTAATATATATAGTAAATGCCATGAGGTTATTCGAGTGAAAAAGTCACATGATGAAAGAGGAGTGTGGACTTGGTCGCGAAGTCTGCAGATTGCAAATCTAATATATATACTGTGTGTGTGTGTGAGTCTATATATATATATATATATATATATATATATATATATATATATATAATATACATGCATATGTGTATGTGTGTGTATATATATATATATATATATATATATATATACTGTAAGTATATAAGCAGACGTATAAATGCACGACTAGACGAAAGGTAGGCGCCGTGAATCACATCGATCACTAGAAACAGAAGTATAAACCACCCTTAACAGGGGCTGCAATATTTACTACCAGATCCATTTTCAGCTGTCAGACACGCACATGAAGATATACTATAGTTATTTATAGTAAAGTGTATAGTGTTTTTTAACCATGATTGAGCTCATGCGATAAGTCCATATATTGATTATTGTGACAGGCCTAAACCTTGTGCAAAAAATAAATAAATCTTGGTATTTTTAAACACTTAAATCTGCTGAACAAAGCCCCTTTGAGAATATCTGGATTTAGGATTTAAAGACTTTCACTCGAGACTTATTGTAACATGACAAACAAACTTGTTTGAAAAATCTTGTAAACTCCCCAACAAATTAGAACCAAACCACAGTGAAAAATGCCATGAGGGTATTCGAGTGAAAAAGTCACATGAGGAAAGAGGAGTGTGGACTTGGTCCCGAAGTCTGCAGATTGCAAATCTAATAGGGAAAGAATGTTACTTCTGGCATGAGCTGGCACTTGCCAAACACACACAATCCAGCATTATGAGGAAAGCAGAGCGCTTGAAATTTCTCCTGTGCATTTTGGCCCTGTTGTGCAATGGCAAAACAATGGTTCTGTGCTGCTTTTACAGGTTAAGTCAATCTTGGGGCCCCTCTGGGCTCCACACTCGGGCCTCTGGAGAGAGGCCTCAGGAAGGGGCAGTGTCTACCGCACTGGCGCCTTTGGCAGCAAGGTTATTTCAGTAAACAAACACTAAAACTGCATCTGAAATCGCATACTTCCATACTATATAGTATGTTAAAAACACTATGAAGTACGTCCGAATTCATAGTATTTTAAAAAAAAGTATGCGAGAAGTACCCGGAAGCAAACGGACGCTACGCTTACCCATGACGCACCGCAAGAGAATAAGAGTTGAGCAATGCAACTGACGCAGGTAGGTCATGTGATAATGACCAATGGTGGATGTAGTACATCCGAATCCCATTCATACTACTCACGATCATACTATATAGTAAGGCCGTGCAATTAATCGAAATCTAATCGCAACCGCCATTTGAAATGATGTGGTTAGCTAATCCCAAAAGGCGGTGATATGGAATATATATATCATTTAATTTACCCCGGCCAAAGCAAATGCATGACTGCAGTTCGTGTGTGATAGTCTTACTAGCCAATCGAGGGAGCACACTTTAATTCTGCCCAATCTGAACACTTAATTCTGCCTCTTAATTTTCAGGGCTGTAGCTCTCTGTCATCTGAACTGTGTGATTGACAGCTGATATTAACCAATCCATTCGCGTTCTGTTCTAGCGCAGTGGGCGAATAAAAAGAGCTTGAAGGCGGGGCAAGTATTGCGGGATTTGTTTACTGAGGCAAGTTGACATGTCAACGGTTTTAAACCATTCCTGAGCGATGCGTTTGGCATTGTTTGGTGCAAATATCCCTATGAATGTCTCCTAAATACGCGCATGCGGTGAACATTTTGCAGTGAAACCGGTCGCTCGGCTACAATTTTTTGCACTCGCACAAATTCTCCCAAACAGGGCTTTACATTAACTTTTTTGATCACCAGCCACAGTGGCTAGTAGTTTTCCAACGTTACTAGCCACTCTGCATTTTCACTAGTCACAATTTTGTTTTTGGGAAAATATTTTTATATGCATAAATATGACTTTGACATGCTAAAATTACTTGATTTAGATTTTTTTTATGTCCAAATGCCTCATTCATTTCACATTTTGTGTGTCGTGTATGAGGAAATAGCTCATGGTTTCATAGTGTCATACTGCAATTAGTTTTTATTTCACAGGACTTTTCAGAACTCAAACAATAATCAAACAATAATTATTTCTTAGCCACAAGTTTTAAATGTGTCAACACAACATAAATATAGCTGTATACTTTTTATTTAACGAAACATTTCTTTTAAAAAAAAACTAAGAAAAATTATTTTAAAAATAATTATTGTCATGTATCAAAAATATGCACAGTAATCTGTCCTCGCTAAAGGACTCTCAGATCAGTTAACTACACATAAATAGAGAGTTAATCTCATGTTAAAGCAAATGTTGTTGTAAAAAATGATAATTAAACCATATAAAGCTCTGCACAAGACTTTTGGCCAGCGGAGAAAATAAAATGGTCGTGCCGAACTGAGTCTGGTTCACTTAAGGTTTTTTTTCTTCACTCCCATCAGGTGAAGTTTTTTTTCCCTCTCCGCTGTCGCCACTGGCTCGCATAGTTCAGGATTGGTAGAGCTACGCATCGATGAATTTGCTCTTCAGTGTTTAAACTCTCAGTAATGATTAAACCACACTGAACTGAGCTAAACTGAACTGAACTTAAACACTAAAACCTGAACCACACTGTTCCAGTTACTATGACCATTTATGTGAAGCTGCTTTGACACAATCTACATTGTAAAAGCGCTATACAAATAAAGCTGAATTGAATTGAATAAACAAAAATAACCGTAAGCAAAAGAAAGCAGGTGAAAAACATACTGTGTGATAAGGATGATCACACGGTTAAGGCCAATTAATAATCTGTTCAAAGCGAAAGCAAGTGCTGCTTACAAAAAGACATATTTGGAGCTCTTGAATGCATCAAGACTGTGTCTGTGGGTGCATTAGCATTACTTTTTTGCCTGACTATTTGAAAGATCCGATCACAGTTGAGTTCCAGACATGCATGCTTCAAGGATGGAAACAGGAGCGCGCACGCGCTTTAAACATCAGCTGTTAGCGCGAGTGATTATTATCCTCTCATTCGGTATTCATCTGCTTTCCTCTGCTCGCGCGAATGCAATTTTTTATTTATTTATTTTTTAATTTTTTGGTCAGTCATGCTGTTTCTCCATTCAAAGATCACATTTGCACACATATTGGGTCATTCTTATAGTCGAACCCTGCTTTTAAGAAAACCACAATTTAAAAATTATTTTCAGCCAAAGTGGCTAGAGGAGGTGTCTAACCCGCCAAAGCTGAAATCTACCCGCATTTGGCGGGTTGGCGAGTGTTAATGTAAAGCCCTGCTCCCAAATATATTTTGATGTCGCATAGATTCAATTTCGAGCCCTGCTTATTACTTCTGAAAACAAGATAATATTTTTTGGCTGTCTAGAAAAGGCATCTTGATTTTAGATATTTGGACTAGAATCAAGACAACAAATAAATGTAAAAAAATAAATAAATTCGAAGACATTTTTTTTTTTTGCATTTTCTGTGTTGGTTTTCGACAAAGTGCATCTACAACTTTTAGATGTATCCCAGAATTTATCCTTAATTCTAACAGGCTTCATTATGCAAAAGAATGCGAAAGAATTTGTAATGTGTTAGGAGTTTCACCTTTAGTAGCAGGCACAGGAACAACAGTCTAGTGAGAATCTGTGGTAAATAAAACACTTCCCACCTGCTCCTTCGCTCTGGACACCCAGGTCTGGGACAGGAGCTGCAATCTGGACTTGTGATACTTCCTAGTGGTCTTCACAGCAATAAAAATGTCTCTTAAGTCCAGGAAGTCTCTGTAGTGCGAGTTTAGATCGTCCATCTTCTGCAGGTTCTCAGGTGGAGTTGTTTGAGTAAAACTACCACCCCTGGTGTCTTCATTTGGTCTGTAGAGAGAGTTTTTGAGTGGGTGTTTGGCGGGTTTGGCATGGGGCCGCGGCTGAGGCAGATCCGCCTGACGCTGTGGAGGTTGTAAGGAGGGAATAAGCAGCACCAGCAGGGCACAGAATGCGAGGGAAAGCAGAAAGCAGGTTTTGTTGGAGCCGACATGGGATAAGTGCATTCTTCCAATGCTGAACGCCAGCTCAACCGCCCGCGCCTGCCTGACTCACTGCTGCAGAGCCCATCTTCAGTGCATCATTCTGCAAAAGCGCGCACACACACACATGCACATCAATACACTCATTTACATCATCTTTAAATCTTCAATATAATAAACTAAATAAATACTGATATGGCAAAAAAAAACACTGCGACATGACATGACTATTTGTGATGTGTTTTTCATTGAATTTATACGTAGTTTACCAAGTTGAAAAATAACACTGCTCCTCTTTGTTTAATTTTTAGAGAAAACATCCTAATCAATTGGAAAACTACCCCAAATAAAAGTATTACCCCCTTTGAGACTGATGGCCTACTCACACTATGCCATCCGTACCGTGCCCAGGCCTGTTTCCCGGATCGTTTGAGAAGTGTGACTGCGCTGAATTGGGCTCAGGATTGGTTCACTTAGCCAGCCCTGGCCCGGTTGGAAGAGGTGTGCCTGAGCTCGGTTCACTTGAGCTTTGGTGCGGTACGCTTGTAGTGTGAGTGCAAAACGCGCCAACGCGCCTTATGGACTGTTTGGCGAAATATTTGACTGCATGTCATTTTATATTAAACAACTTAGGCTGCTTTCAAACCTGTGAATCGATTCAGTTGTTCCGAAACAGAGATTAAAATTGTTACATTGTTGCTCTTTGCTCTTGGAGCGGTTCGCTTTCACACTGCAAAGTTTCTAATCGGACCAAAAGAGCTAAAACAAGTCACGTGCGAGTAAACTCTCCTCACATTGGTCAGAGTGTCAGGGTTTATTTTGCAGCGTCCCGCTCAGCTGTCAGGAGAGGTGGTGGATTGATGGTGATTGACAGGGTGCGCGCGCGATGTGTCTGAGGAGAGACACGGTGGGGAGGGGTGAGAAGGCTGCGCAACGATGCCTATTTGAGGACTGGGAGGGAGACGCGAGATTACTGGGAGATCATCACTCGTTTGCGGGCATCCGGAGACTCGCGAAACTTCCCGCCCTACTCATAATTCTCTCTTCATATCGCCGAATGCCTATTACATATCCATAAAACACTGTGATATAACCGCGCTCGGATCGGATCGCTTTCTCACTGCAATCGAACCGCTCCAGGGTTCGTTTCAATCGAGCCGAGACCACCTCATTCAAGCGATCTCGGAGCTATTACTTTGGCGCGGAACAGAGTGCGAATGCCCTGTTCACATATGCCAATCGAACCGCGCTAACTGGGCAATCGAGACACGTTCCGAAAGAAAAGTGTAGATGTGAAAGCACCCTTAAACGATATAACTAGAGAAATCTCCACTGTGCTGAGCGAGAGCGCTCACTGAACAGCGCAGCATCGATGACGTAAGCGTGCCCAGGCCCGACTGTAGTGCGAGTGTGGGCCGTCGGGGGAGACAGGAGGGGGGGACAGGCGTGCTTTGGCCTGGTTCAAGGCATTTGTACATAGTGTGAGTACGGCCTGAGAGCTGAATCACATGAAAGTCAGCTCTGAATTTTTTTTATTTACTACGTTTTACTACTTTTTTAAAAAAAATGTTAAAAATTGTTTGTGCCTTTTTTGAACATTTGAGTTTGAGACTTTTTGTTTTCTTTTTTTGTTGTTTATTTTATTCTACAATTTTGAAACATTGAGGTGTTCAATTTAATTTCTGTATTAGGAAATAAAACCTTTCTTGGTGTTCTTTTAGCCTACATTCAGTATGAGTAAAATACCCAGGTTCTTTTAAAAATGTATACTTTAATTTGTTTACTCAAGTCTTATTGGAATTGGTGACTTGTAATTTGTAATGAGTCATTTTTACAGTAAGTTATTTGTACTTTTACTTAAGCAGGGCTCGAAATTGCGACCATTTTGGTCGCATATGCGCCCGAAAATTAATCTATGCGACCTCATAATATATTTGGGCGCATTAGTGCGACTGCAGATAATGGTTGTAGTGCGACCTGTTTAGATTTTTTCTAAACACGTGCTGAATCGCTCTTCCCTGCCGCTATATTGGTTTATATACGCCGTCAATAACTCAAGGTATTCCGCTGTCAGATGACAGGGAAGGAGCTTTTATGACTAGAGGAAATGCAAACGGCTGAAGAGTGAAAACTTAAAGCACACAGGTTTGCAAACCCCACCTAAAGTTAAGGCGCAGATGAGAGCGATCATGACGAGGTGAATAATGATCCGCCAGCTGAGATCAATCGAGTACGTGCTTTTCGGAGAAAGCGCCCGAATCTCGATGCGTTGCATTCGATGCGTGTTCAGCGCAAATGTCCGCTAAAAGTCAAATCTAATACTGTACATATCATCGCCAGAGAAGCTCGCCTTTACTAAGTTTACACTGAAACTGCGGCTCATAACAAAGACCGGTATTGCGCCGGTGGTCATCGCAAGAATTCTGTTCAACCTGCTCATAAATTGGGTCGGCTGACTCGCCTGCTTTTCCACTAACACAGAAACATGAAGATCAGCTCAGACTAAACCTTTAAATTGACACAAACTGAAACCAAAACTTTTAAAGAGTGATAGAAGTGAGACTTTACTTACTTTTGTCTATTCTTACTTGAGGTGTATTTTATTATTATTTTTTATTTAGTTAGGCTACTGATGACTGTTTTGCAGCTTTCAGCCTTGAATTTAATTATTTATTATAATCTTTTGTTTGTTTTGTTGCAGAAATATTATTTATTAAACTGACATGCATATATAAACAGCAGTACAAAATAAATATTTCTTACTGCAGTGCTTCATTTTTGTTTGATGCAAACTATCCATTTATTTTTCATAAAGTAACAGACTTTTTATAGCAGATAATTTGCATTCAAGCACATTCAAGGCATCATGATGATGACAAATGTAATTCATTGTTACTATTATTGTCATTTTCATCATCATTAATATTTTATATTTATTCGACATTCATTTTAGAATTATTGCACACAAATATCAATGTCATCTCAGCATTAGTTAGATAGTTAATTTTGGTTTTTGTCAGTCCTATTAATGTTGTTTTAAAATACAATAAATCCCTTAAAATACAATTTGCAGCGGTGCTCAATCATTTTTGGTGTGTGCTCCTAATTTTTTTTCTGGTGCTCCTAAATTTCCTCTGGTGCTTCTAAATTTTTGAAGTTGGGAGCAACGGTGCTACCAAGTAAAAAAGTTAATTTCGAGCCCTGTCAAGTATGGTTTTTAGGTACTCTTTACACCTCTGAACTTCAAAATATCTTCTTTTGTGTTCCACGGAAACTCACAGAAACAAAGTTTAGGAACCAACTTAGGGTGAGTAAATTCTCATTTTTTGGGTCAACTGGCCCTTTAAATAAAGCATTCAGCAGCACACACGAAGTAATATACAATGTTTTATTATCATTTCTCTTTCTCTTTAGTTTTTATATTCACACATTCAGACTTTCTCCTTAATATAATTTCAGAAAAGTATTTTTTGCAAACTGTAAATAAGAAAATTATAGTAGCAGCCAATGACTATGAAAGTACAACTTTTTTCACATTCATTTAAATAGTGCTAATGTTGTTTTGAAATCATACTTACAAGCGATTTCAGACAAAATATTCAAAGTAACGTTGTAAACATTATTGGGACTGAGTCACAAGTTGTCACTGAACGAATGTGCCTCTATAAAACACCCTTTACCTCAATAGTAAATAGTGAGCAATTTAAATTTTCGAGTGAACTATCCCTTTAAATAAAGCGTCCATCTGCACACAAAGTAAAAAACAGTTTCATTCGCATTTCTCTTTCAATGCTGAGCTAAAACTTCACACAAACTCCACACAGCTAAAATAAAGACATTCAAATGTTAAAAACACACTCTTTTTAAAACAAAATAAAGCGTATTTTCTTCTCCTCAGCCATAACGTTAACGTTACATTGGTAACTATTGTGTCTTACCGAGAGCGGTCGGACTGGTTTCGGGTCAATATACTCCTCATTTTCCAGACTTTTAAACCGGTGAAACCACAGAAATCAGTATAGATCATGCTAGGCTGAAATAATCCGCAGGCGAAGGCTGGGTCGGTGATTTCAGCAGCTTTTCGTCGAGTAGAAATCAGCATGAATCACACAAGCCTTATTGTTCCTGCTTGACTTCTTCTGCTTCTGGAGCTCATATGTTCAGTCAGTTTCCGCTGTTTATTATAAAGTTTCACGCATATCTTTGGTTTCAGCAGCTCAAACTCTCTGTTGTTCAGTTGTGCATCATCTCTGCTGTCTTGGGTTGTTTATAATGACCTCTGCGTCTGCGCGTTGCCAAATATATATCCAACAACTACATTGTCCTTTCTGTTGATGCCAAAGACGCACGTTTTGAAAACCAGCGCCCTCTGGCGGATGTGGATGTCGTCACTATGCCTTTTATTGATGATTTACGCACACACGCACGCGCACACACACATTTGATTGTTTTATTTGGAATGACGAATACTAATCAAAGCAACACAGAGTGCAAATAATCACAAAAAGCCCATTATGTTTCACGGACATAGTCTAGATAAATACAATTACTTAATATCTTTTATGGGACATGTTTTAATCCTTAATTCATTAATTTTCTTTTCGGCCTGGTCCCTTTATTAATCTGGGGTCGCCACAGCGGAATGAACCACCAACTTATCCAGCATATGTTTTACGCAGCGGATGCCCTTCCAGCCGCAACCCATCTCTAGAAAAAAATAATAATAATTATAATATATATATATATAAATAAATAAATAAATATATATATATATATATATATATATATATATATATATATATATATATATATATATATATATATATATATATATATATATATATATGTGTGTGTGTGTGTGTGTGTGTGTGTGTGTGTGTGTGTGTGTATGTGTGTGTATATGTATGTATGTATGTATGTATGTATTTTTTAATGTTACTTTATAAATGCTTTGGCAAAACATTTGTAACATTTGTCATGCCAACAAAGTATTGAATTGAACTAAATATATATACATAGAGAGAGAGAGAGAGAGAGAGAGAGAGAGAGAGAGAGAGAGAGAGAGAGAGAGAGAGAGAGAGAGAGACCACACAGGGAAGCGAGACGGATATAAATAGGTCTGCTGTATTTAGGATGGGTGGGTTTTCTGCTCTCCTGACCAAGTGCTTCTGTCAATCAAAACCCAAAACAAGATGGCAGACAAAAGGAGCTGGGCTTTAGCAATAACAGGCAAGTTCATTCTCTTTCTTTTGGACTATTCTGTTCTGGATAAACATTTAAAAAGATTCTTCCTAGATCTGTATATGCTCTTAAAAATAAAGGCTCTAAATGGGCATCCACGATGATGAAAGACCTTTAACATCCTTTCACTACACTAATTGTTTATTTGAAAAGCTATTTAGCATATTAAAATGTGCTTGATATTTACACGCTCTTTAAAAAAAAGACTCAAATTCAGAAACTACAACCTTTATTTTGAAGTCTGCAATGGAGAAGCTGGTCTGATTGTTTCTTTACTTTGAAGCCTTGCAGTGCACTAGAAAGTGAAAATATCAGAACTATTAATACAGTCTTTGTAAATGGCATTAATTAGTTTTTTTAAACCTTATTTAAACACTTATTAAAGTGACGGTTTACCCAAATATAAAAATTGGTTTACGTTTTTTCTTCTGTTGAAAACAAAAGAGGATATTTGAAAAAGCTGCAACCAGTAGTCATCAAATAATATTTACATGTATTTCTGTGGGTGACAGGGTGGCTCACTGGTTTGAGTCCCAGCTGGGCCAGTTGGCATTTCTGTGTGGAGTTTGCATGTTCTCCCAGAGTTGGCATGGGTTTCCTCAGGGTGCTCCGGTTTCCAAACACATGCGCTATAGGTGAACTAAATAAGCTAAATTGGCCGTAGTGTATGAGTGTGAATGAGTGTGTATGGATGTTTCGCAGTACTGGGTTGCAGCTCGAAGGGCATCCGCTGTGTAAACATATGCTGGATAAGTTGGCAGTTCATTCCACTGTGGCGACCTCTGATGAATAAAGCGACTAAGCCGAAGGAAAATTAATGAATGTATTTCTCTGTGTTTGTGTCTTTGTGTACAAATATGTGTTTTACAGCTACACAAAGTAGTTTAATCGTGTCCTCGCACCTCGTGTCCCTGTAATTCAAAATGCTTAAATAATTGAAATTAAAATTTTGCCACCCATCGACTGACCCACCCTGGGCCACAAAACCATAAAGGTCTCATAAAAGTATTTATAGATCATCTATATTCTGAATAAATAATATTTCCATTTCAAAATCCAAACCTTGAAATTTCAAAATCAAAACTTAAACATTTTTTAATTAAATTTTGTCACGGGTTTCCTGTGAGGGTTGGGTTTAGGAGTGGGACAATATATTTAGCATTTTTTACATGCTATTTATTTTTGGGTGAACTGTCTATTTAAAGTAATTTAGAACTGTTATTTCTGTTTATTACATGGCTGTCTGGAATACTCAACTCTGATTGGTCAGTCTTGACATAAGTATGTTATTCCCAGATAACAATAGCACAGCTCATTCGTGAACTTGTGAATACAGTTAAATTCATATAATTACATCCACATTCAAATGTATTTGCTTGTCCGTTGTTTTTACTAACCTACTGGGGGGAAAAAACAGCTTACCAGCCTTAGCTTGCTGATTTTAGCTGGTCATCCAGCCTGGTTTTAGAGGGGTTTTGACCATTTTCAGGTTGGTTTCCATCCTGGTCTTAGCTGGTCAGGCTGGAAAATGACCAGCCTAAACCAGGTTAAACTAGCTTGACCAGGCTGGTTTCAGTTGGGCATAGATGGTTTTGGCTGGTCATCTCCCAGCCTGACCAGCTAAGACCAGACTGGAAACCAGCCTGGAATGGCCAAAACCCCTCTAAAACCTGCCTGGTTGACCAGCTAAAACCAACCAACCAGGCCGGTTTAAGCAGTTTTTTTCAGCAGGGTGACGCCAAACCATTACTTGTGATGAATAATACATAGGTCAGTATTTGTTTTATTAGTTTCTGTCAGCTTGTGTTTTTGACTGTTTGGCGCCATCTTGTGACTGAATAATGCGCAAGGTTACTATACTCCAACTCTTTTTGTTTCTTTTTTGAAGATTTCATAAACTATTACGCTTCAGAACAATGTTTTGTTTCTAATTATTATGTTATGTGACAAGTATTCGTGTAATATGGGAGATAAAGTCAATCCAGGACGGTTGTTTTTGAAAAAATAAAGCCCTTCAATCTTATAGAGTATTTCTGCTTGTGTGTCGCCGCTGTTTTTGACTGTTTGCCGCCATCTTGTGACTAAATACAGGTACTCCATCAGCTCTTTTCGTTGTCAGCTTTGCAATGAATTAAGCATTTAATAAACTTTTACAGCTTAAAATAATAATCTGTGACTAATTATTATGTTTTGTGGCTATTAGCCGTGTAAGAAGCGTGAAAAAGTAAATCCAGAACGGTTTATTTTCGCCGGTAATGTAACTGTGCTGCGCTTTGCTTTAGGCTTTTTTTCTGCGATAACCACCGCCAGGATGTATTTTTTATCCCTAACAAAAATACCACTCACATGCATATCGAATCTTATAAACTTGATGAATGTGATCTGCTTCTGTGTTGTCAGTCTGTGTGGCTGGTTTTCTGTGGGTTCAGGCCGACAGCATCACAGAGACTCCCGCCGGTCAGATGTTTGTCTATGAGCTTCACAGAGAAATCTTCCAGAGTGAATTTGAGCCGCTTCATAAACTCTTTGGTAAGAAAATTTTCTCAGTATTTCCTATAATTTTTTTTATTCTGGAGAAAGTCTTATTTGCTTTATTTCAGCTAGAATAAAAAATCTATAAAAATTAAAAAAATAAAATAAAATTAAGGTCAATATTATTAGCCCCCTTAAGCAATATATATTTTTCAGGAGGGCTAATGATTCTGACTTCAACTGTATGTAAAATTAAAGCGAATATATTTAAACATTTGTCATATTTGGAATTGTAGTGGTAAAACTTAAAAAAAAAACATGTAACTTAATTAGACAATTTTACAAATGTTTACACATATTACACATATTTTGCCCTATAATTGCAGCATTTATTTCAAAACAATGCAAAAATGTCCATTTACAAAATGTTCATAATTGTAATATGTAATTTGCATATATTCCCATATATCAGAGTTCTTTGAGAATTAGCTAACCGTATTTTAAAGTTGTGCTTTTATGCTATTTTATGCTAATTTTGTTTTGGAATTGACCTACAGTACAGTAAGTTTATACATGGTAAAAAATCAGTTTAATTTTATCATAATAATATACAGAATAGCTACATTAGGCTATATCAAAAACAAGCATAAATCTACACTTAAAGGTCACAAAATTATGCAATTTTAAAAATACATATTGTGTAATTTACATATACATATTGTCATAATTTTGTTGTTTAAATATTTGCAGAATTTTTACGTTCATAGACCGTTACATCAGCATATTTTCATAATGCATAATAAAGTCCAGCACAGAAGTATCTGTTCAATATGACGGTATATTTATCTGAGCTGTCTTTTCCCGATCTGTAGGTCATATTTATAATGACCCCATGGTGTTTAAATGCAACAAGGAGCGATTTCCAGACCTGCCCCGGTGGCTCCGCTTCACCCAGAGAGACCCCTATGAAAACGGATTCCTGTACGGGACGCCACTGCCACAAGACCAGGGCAAGAACATCATAGAGGTGAAGAACGCTAGACAAAAATGCACATTCAAAGTGTTGAATAATTCCCTAAGGCCCACTGAATGTGACCCTGAACCACACCATTTTCAAATTTGAGATTTATGCATCATCTGAAATAGGGCTGCACAATATACCGTTTTCGATATTGCAACGTGTGTGTCTGCAATAGCCTCTAGGCCTGTCACAATAATCAATATATGGGCTTATCGCACAACACATGGACATGGCTTCAATCATTTTTGGTGATCAAATATATATCGCCCATACATAAAGACGAATTCTAGCAACATTTTAGCTAAAGAAAAAGGGAAAAGATGAGGGAAAAAAATGGAGCCAGATTTAAAAAATAGTTACATTTACAAAATAAAATTCATAAATCCACAACACACTTCACATTTACAAAATCCAATTCGTAAGTTCAAAACACGATTTGTAAATCCACAAATCCAATTCATAAATTCAAAACACGATACGTAACTGCACAAATCCAAATCATACGTTCAAAACACAATTGATAAATGCACAAATCCAATTCGTAAGTTTAAAACACAATTCGTAAATGCACAAATCCAATTCGTAAGTTTAAAACACAATTCGTAAATGCACAAATCCAATTC